TACCTGTCGTTTCACACCCCCCGGGACAACACAGCAAACCCAAGCGAATCATCAGCATCACGAATGCAGTCTAAGACAGCTCGCTCCCCTGCCAGTCCACACCAGGCTCGGGGTCGACCCCGATTCCCCATTGTCTCGCCCGTTTGTCCCCCTCTTATCGAGTACCTACCTACAGGCTACACGCACAAGATTCTACGACGGGAGTCTTATGCTGCAGCAAGTTGATGCACGAACAAAAGACCTTGTATGCTCTGCGCATCATCGTCAACGAGATCAACTGTGGCCAGCACGTCTCATGCTGCTTTGGGAAATTCCAATTAGATAGCTACACCGCTAGAAAGACTGAGTCTACGACATGGACGCAGGTCATGTCTTGTACGGACAGAAACGCCTTCGATTATGCCTTACAGCTGTCTCGACGGAACGGGGGTGCTGCTCCCTTTCCTCCGTGCATGCCGGCCACATAAGCCCGGATCTTCGGGGTGACTGCGGCGCGACCGGTACATCCACCGCATCATAAGCGAAGTTGAAAGCAATCAGCTATCCCAACAGTCATCCCGATATCCCAGTGGCTTATGGAAGCTAGCCCTACGGGCATCCATCTGGCAATTAAGCATCTCACTGGCGCATCGAAATGGCGGACCAGTGAGGTACATGACTGGTGGAGTTGCCATGTTCCCGCAAGCAGGTCAAGTCCAGGTCAATGGATGACTACTTTGTCATCACTGGAACTTTTGGTGTCTACTGGGCGTGGCAGACATGCTACAGCAGGAACTTGGATTTCCAGTACGGGCAGAGCATGGTAGGCGATTGTCAAGCCACGTCTGTCCCAGATTGTATGGAGCCGATACCTATGTGAACAGTCTAGGTAAGGTAGACTAAAGACAGGGTGCTCAGAGGCTGGAGTTGTATTGACATAGGCAGAAGTTTTGGTCCTTTGAGAGTCTGGGTCCTGCGACTGGTTCGTCGTGGCTTGCGGTTGAGAGAGGATTCCCATTGGCTCACACCACGAGTTACCGCATCGAGACGAGCTAACAAGTCTACGAGATACGTTACGGTCCACGGATACGCAGTGATTACGCTGTACGCACATTTTGGCACCCCAGCCGGGCCGTTGTCGTCTGATTACCAATCGTGGAGCTTCTTAAATCCTCTCGCGGGCGCTGAGCCGTCCATAGCGCGACATGGGCAGTTCTCCAGAGCTCCCTTGCCTTGTTACTCCTGTTGTGAATGGGATAATTACGGTTAGATTAGCAGCAGGCCGAGCAGACAGCTTCGTTTCTTGTTCTCTTGAGTCTCGGGAGTGCTGATCTATTGATTACTTAAGCACAGACCACTTCACTCGAACGATTACTACGTAAAGATACTTGCTACATCGCTTGACCAAAATAGGCAAACCCTTTCCCCGGAGGAGGGTTGGTGGTTCAAACCTCGAACGATGTATAGCGACACACCCCTTGCCCTGCCCTCTGGCTGTTGCTTTCAACTGGTGGCCAGGACGGGACTCCCAACACCCTGGGTTTTGGAACCGACAAGGCGAGGGTGCGGCGTATTATCCGTCATGATTCCAAGGCAATCGCAATCTGCAGACATCGTGAGTGTGACATCGCGACTCCAAGCACGGACAGACAAGAAAAAGCACAGGTATCACTGCAATCCCTTCCCTTTTCCTCCCGCTGAGGTTGTTCAAACTTTCAGTCCTGGTTGACAAGGGTTAGGGATTCCACATCATCCACCATGATGGGGTTTCCTCCCGGTGGGCTTTAATCACAATCATCCATGGGATGGCATCTCTCTACCCACAACTTTGTACGAACTATGTACGAATACCCTCAGCTTCCCTTTTACCCTTTGAGCCTCCACGAGGGGGCTCCACCCTGCACTGCAAAATATGCCCAGATCAAGAAATCAATTGGGGGCAGCTCATCCTCCAAATCCACTTTCGCGATTCACCGCCGCAACGAAACTTCATCCATGATCCAACATCGAGAGACTGGCGCTGGGTCGAGGAGATTTGCTGCTTAGCCATGACAAGCGAAGCGGAGCCTAAAGACCAAACGCCCACCGGTCGCTCCCAGGCAGCAGTATGATGGCCTTGGAAAATGCCTGTCCAGATTTTCAACGACGTGATTTTCAGGAACTTTTTTGCATCAACGAATATGTACCGAGGCCAGCAAACACGCCATCTCCACATTGTTCGCCTACCTTAACCTTGTATCTGATTCCTGCATGCCAGTTCTGGAATCCGATGAATTTGTGATTGAGGCAGTGATTGTGTTGCTACTATTACTTCGTCCTATTATGTGTGCTCTCCATTTGACTTGTGGCCGACCGGGCATGACGATAATGGTGTATTGCGGTGACCAAAGCAAGCAACGCAGGCAAAAGGAGGGCATATTTCCTTGCGACTCTGAGCCAAACCATTCTCGATTGTTACTATCATATGTCCCCATATTGCACCCTGCGGTTTGGCGATTTCGTGGTTTGTGGTTCACGGTTAGGTCGCGTTGCATGGCCCGCAGCAGAAACGAAAGAAACGCTGCGCTGCCCTTTCACCCCAACCCCGGACAGTGGAGGCCCCACGCAACAAATGCGAGCCGGCCAGTCGCAGCTATTCGTCCCCGCTTGCTGTGGGTCTCGGAACCCTGACGACCGTCACGACCCCCGGGGCGTCCCCCTTTCCCCCCTGGCTCTCCTGCGCCCCGATCGACTCCGGAGCTTTGAAGCGGACGGGAATGGACGACTCCTACGGACTACTACGACATACCTTACGGAGTACCTCAACTGCCCATCTCATCTGCCAATCTGCCACCTGCCATCTGGTGCCCTGTGCTCTGCTGTGCTGTGCTTGTGCTTGTGGGTGTCGCCCGCTCCATGTGCCCGCTATGACCCGCTGTTGCCCCGAACCCAACGGCCTTCCGGAGACAACACCGTACCTGCTGCCAATCCCGGCGATCCTTGTTTGCCTCCTCATCTCTCTCCAAGACTTCCAACCAGCCCATATCGTATGCGTGCCCATGGTCGTATGGATATTCAATAGCCTCAGCAACCGCGCAACCAAGGAGAATGAGGAGAAGGAGGAGAAATCGCGCACCTTGGCCCGGTCTGGACTGCCTTGGACTTCTCAGACCTACCCTTGCTCTCCCTCGAATCTGGCAGCCTAATGCTGCCTCTCTCTTGCTCTCCATCTCCATCTCCATATTCTTAGCCAAGGTAGCTCTATCCGTACCTCCCTCTCTTGGCCAAGACCCATCAACATTATACACAGTAATGCGATGAAAAATGGTTACATCCCAGCATGCCACCCCTTCTCCGTATGCATGTGACGATGGTATACCTATACTGACCACAATGAGGCCAAGTCCCGTAAAAGAAGAAAACGGCTAGTACAATCAGCCACACCCGCGACATTTCTGCACCCTGCTGGCAAAGCAACCCCAATGTTCGGGCTTGGCAACCAACCCAGTACGGATACCAGGCTGTCCCTCACCTTGTGTGTGGACATCGTCAGAACCTAAAAAAAACACACCCTCTTCAGATTTCCCCCAGAGCTTCAGCTGGCACATTTCTTAGCAGGTAGCCGTCTCGTGAAACATGGCCTGGTACCCAATCGTTCAATCGCCCACCCGTCGTAAACCCCCATGTCGATGAGAGCCTTGTGGCCTGTACGGATAGCCTGTAGAGGGGGACCAGCGCAGCGCCCCCTTTCCTTTCCTGGCCGGGGCCCGTGTAGCAGTGTAATCCTACTGGCCCACCGCTACATCCTCCAAGCCCGAGAGTTCGGTGTGGTGGGCTGGGGTTCGTTCGCTGGAGGAGGATGCAGTCGTTATGCGCCCATCTGTCTGTCCCCCCCTAGGATGGATGAAGCCAATCTAGATGGCGTAGGGCTGGATATTCAGGAGAAGGCATAACATGTAGAACACCATGGTCCCTTACGGCTCGAGCTTGGCCACCTTTACGAACCTTTATCCGCAGTGCCGGGCTCAATTGATCAATGGGAAAAGAATCGTTAGCAACTGATGTTTATTGATCATCCAAGGTTTACATTGGAGGGAGAGACCATGTTGTCGTTGAAGTTGAGTAAATTGGAGGCAGACCACAAGGCAGCTCGCAAGTTTGGCTCCTGCTTCTGCCTCAATCATGTATCTAGGTAGTCAAAGGCGACGCAAATGGAATAGGATCTGCTGCCCAAAGAGGAGAATGTGAGGACTACCGAATCGTGGACACGTTGGATTATCGTCATGACCGACAGTGCTGCGCCATCATCTCGCGCAACTACCTAGACAATGCGCACGTCTGACGGCATGGCACGGTGCGTTGTGTTTCTCGATTTGGACAGCTCTGCTCTGTTCGGAGCGAAGGTGATGACAACGTCTGCATGGCATCTTTGGTCCGCGCTGCCATGACAGGGTGACGGACCGGCCGCCGTTGGATTGCTGACAAGTGCAGATGGATAGATAAACGGCCTCTAAAGGGAGCTAGATGGCGCCCGCCTTTTTGGTGGACAAGTGCGTCCAACGGTTTTTTGCGGCGTTGTGATGCCCCTCCCTGCAAATCGAAGTCGGAAGCTACGTTGTATCGCATCGTACAGATGGAGAAGTGCAGTGCTGACAAGCTCGGCAATAGCATCGAGAAGATAAACCGTGGCTGGGGTATCAATTTGATCCTCCTTCGTCTGGCGGTCCAGTGATATCCTTATTGGGCCCGGGGCTGGAGAGGACGGCAGCGACGCATAACAGGCAGCATCTAAAAGTGAGCAGCTAAATAATTAGGTCTTGTTACACTCTGGGACCTTATTTCGGAGATGGATATCGCCAAGTCAACGTGTCATGCAACGGCGGGCCACTCAGAGATGGAGATTGTGATGGTGATGGTGATGGCATACTATAGGCGTTCTCGGTGCGACAGAGGAGGGGTGGTTACTGGCGCGTAAATAAGTCGTTAGAAGCCAGGTCAGGTCAGGTCAGGTGTGCGCTTGATGATGTCTGAACCCGACGGGCTTAATGGCGCGTCCCTGCAATAGCATCAAGCGATGGGAAATGCAGCCCTGTTGGAGCTGTACAGCAATTACAGATACTCCGTAGAGAAAATACACGTTTTGTTGGGTGCCTATTCGTACCCTCTCCTGTGGAACCCAAGTCCGAGGTCCCCACCCATTGCGAGCTTTCGACCTTGCGGCTTGCCCAGGCTGCGACGAAGATCCAGGGACAAGGGGTGTTTTGGCGATGGAGCCGGCTGGCCGGCGTAGACAGGGGTTGGGTGGTAGGGTAGGTATTGCGGGCGTCGATGGTTTCCATGGACGGGGTTATGGTATAGGTTACCGTACGATACAGGTCCAGCGAAGAGAGAGCGAGAGAAGGATGTTTGAAGGTGTGGTGATTCTTGGGAAGGGGGCCGGTCGGGGTCGGGGACGGGGTTAGGACAGAAGGGTTAGATGGGTACGAAGTACGGATACATTCCCAGTTTACTGTGCACGATGGGATGGGTCACTTCGTCCGAAGGAGCGCAGGTGAAGGTTGTATCCGCGCATCCACGGTTGAGGTAGATGGAAGAATATGCGGAGGATTTTGGGGGGGGGGGGGCAAGGCAGGTACTTTGTTGTGTGACTGCAAGCAAGTACGGACGAATAGGAGGGCAGGCATCGTCTTGCTAATCGACTTTGCAAAAATAGACGTCTTACAAAGCACGTGGAAGCCTTCGTCATTTGGCCCCCTCCTGGCAGACTTTGGGGTCCTTGGAGAGGCACGGGAAGGGTAGACCGCACTACCGTAAGGTAGGCGTACGGCGTAGTTCTCAGAAGTACCTCTTCCTAGTCTACATACCACCCCTAATTACCCAGTCACCAGTAGACACACACCTACGCCTACAGACTACAGAGAGCCAGAGCCTAGAGTCACCATCGCTGGTTGGGGGCCGAGAACGAGCGTCCCAAACAAGCAGATGAAGCGCACGTTGCAGTTGCAAGTCAACATGGGGGAAGGGGAAGGCCCTGTCTCGAGATTGATAATTCATAGTTACACACACCAGACCAGCGCGGCTGTCGGCCGACCTAAAGCACCTTGCGCCCTTTCCAGCGTCCAGGATTGTTTCGACACCTTGTCCATTTTGGCCTCCTGTATCGACTATTCGTGACTGGTCCCGCTCTGAAGGATTCGCGATGTCGAGGATCCAGACCGAGGGGGTAGGATTTAGGACGACCAAGGTGATGGTGATGATGATGATGATCAAAAAGAAATTCGTACGAATTACCGGAATTCGCCAACGATAGCCGGAGCAAGACGTGGCCCCAATCTCACCAGTCTCTTCCACGACACATCACTCTATCTTATTCCCGTCTGCACGGATCAATCTGTGTCTCGACCGCTTTCTTGGATCCAAGTATCCTTGCAATGAACGATGTTGAAGTTCGGATGCTCAATATATCTTCACACACACACACACACACACACCTATCTACAGGCAGGGATCCATGGAAACTCCGGACGTGGTCCATCCAGGTCTCCCATGGCGATTCGATAATGCCATATCCGAATTTGTTGTTTGCAAATAGCAAGATATCAACAAATCGTGCCAAGTACGCGCATTCAGTGTTCCGTGATACGAGTCACCTCTTGTCCACACATGTCAAATAGACCAACCGCCAGAACGTAAGCCAGCGGTAGGACGTTGACACGGGTAAGGATTCAGGAAAGACGTGACGATGTGCCGTGTGTGCCTTGCGGGCGGGACACCGCCAAAACGGCGCTGGCGCACCTCGCCCTGTGGCTTGGTAGCCGGAATAGCCTCGTCCCGCCTCTAGGCTGGAGAGACTTGGGGTTGGGTGGTAGGCTGTCCCCTTGGGCCTTGGGGTGTACCGTGTGTCCCGCCCTTGAATCCTTTTTACCTCTTTGGTGATGACGTCTCGGCAGGGGAGAGAGAGCACCCTTGGTTTTACACTACACTAGACCACAGTATGGGGTTGAAGGTTCCCTGGTCTCTGGAGTCGGGTCCGGGACTGGGGCTGGGTAGGACTCTTTTTCCAGTCAACTCACATGGGAAGATCCAATGGAAGAAATCCCATGGATTCCCCACCCTGTCTGCGCCTCTTCGCGGGCGCAAGATGAGAAATACCACAGCACAGCACTGCGTAGCGAAGAAAAAAGATCAACGACGGGCTCTCACTGGCTGCTCCGTTCGTTAATGACCAAGCTCGGCCACGAGACTCCCCCACTCGACTCTAGGCAATCGAATTCTCGTGATGCTGGTTGGACCACACGCTTCAGTGTTTAATATAGCCAAGGCAAGATTAGGGGTAGAGTGGTCCAGCTAGTGTATCCCAAGTCTGAGTCCCCCTCCCTTTGGGTTGGACACACCCGGCCAGTACTCCGTAGACCCAGCATCTGGCATTGAGCACCTGCCGCCTAGCATTAGCACCGCAACCGCAGTCGGTGGTCCGTGGAACCTCAAGATTGAGAAGAGCAGAAAAAAAAAAGAAGAAAAAAAAAAGGATCCTGGACCCCAAAGCATCACCCATCTGCGTTGCAAATCATCAGAAAAGTTTAGTGCACTGACCCGTGTTTTGGGAACACTCACCTCCCGTCTCCACGGAGTACCTAGGTACTTACACAGGCTCATACTCCGTAGGGTCTGCAAAGCTTGGCCCGCGGAAAGAGGCTAAAAACCAGGGGCTTTGGAGCTTCGGGATTGGCCCGTCTTACGAAGCTACATCTTGGGACTAGCGTCGCTCCGCTCCATCCCGGGATCGGCCCACTTTTGTCCCGTCCTTATTGCCGGCTGGCCACGGATGCTTCAATCAACTTTTCCAGGCAATGGCCCTGTCTGCGAACACCTAGCTCCCGCTCCGGCTCAATATTACAGGCGCGAGATTGCGGGATTGACTGTGATCAATTCGGGAACCCTTTCGAGATTCGCCAAGGGTTTCCCGATATCGTGCTGTGTCCGGCCCCATCGCAAGCGGGGTCTTCACATCCTACGCGTCCACGATGAACGAACCTGCCAAAATGTCTGCTGGTGTACGGATAAACGAACAAACTGGGAGTCCAGACGAAAGCTGTATCCGTAGATGGAGTCACTTCGAAAGAGTTTCCGTGCCATGGGTTGATCCATGCTTCTACTGTCCAAGACTCCCAATCCCACCGGCTCTGCCTTGACCATCCGCAGCTAGACTTGGGACTTGATCTTTAGGGTTCAAGGCCAAGGTGGATGCCATCATCCTCATCTCCCCTCTTTCCGATATCGTCAGTACCAAGACGTCGTCAATTTGTTGTCCACGGAAACGGTGCTAGCCTGAAGAAATAGCCACTGCACCGTCCGACCTTCTGACAGCATCTTCCCGGGCACACTGCTTGCCCACGGACCTGGTCACGACCTCATTCGGATTACCAACCAGCCGTGCCAACCAACTAGCCCGCGCCTCTCGGGACGTATTATGTCAATGGGAGCAGCAGACAGCAGTGCTCGACCGTCAACGTCCATACGGATCTGCGCTCGCCCTTTTCGCGCCTCCACTAGGACGGTACACCTGTGAGGCGCAGGGTCGTTGCCGATGATCCTTCGAACCCAGCAAATGCCGCCAGTGTCAACTCTATTGCATGGTACGCCTTTGGTTAGCCATCTCCCGTTCGGGACTCATTCTGCGCGAGTGCGCGCGCCCGCGCAAGAGAAGCCAATCTAACCACACTTCAACTACACGAGCAATAGAGCTCGTCCGTTGTTTGGGTCGGAGACTATATCTTAACCCCCAAGAGAAGATTTCGGTCGTTGTCCGGGGAGGGGGTGGGGGGTAATTGACGTGGAGCATCTAGATCTGCCAAGCACACCTTGAATTGACAAGGGGTGCCTCTGTATCAGAATATTGAGAGCTCGCCACGGAGCCGTGGCCTTCATCCACGGCAGCGGCATGTTCTTTTGCTAGTGAACGATGACCAGCCACTGGCCGAGGTAGGACGAAACACTCGTCACTGGGCCCGGGAAATGCCATCGTGAGTTCTTGTCAAACATTGGTCCGTATAGGCGGAGTCTAAGGTGTCAGGGCGCGGAGACTTACCAGATGGTTTACTGTGTCTCTAGTGGCATCGATGGTTCCAATGATGAAGGCCAGGTAAGGTGTGAGGCATAGCCGCATAGGTACAGAATCCTACCCGATTCCATCTCGGGAGGGACGTTATGGCGCGGCAGAGAGAAGCCGCCACAAAACTCAAGGTGTGTGTGTGAGTGTTTTGGTGGTTCAAGACGACGCATCTTAGCCCTATGTGAGGAACTTTGGGAGAAGCTAGGCCTTGTGTGCGGGCTGAGCTAGGTAGCTTGGGGAGCAGTGGTTTTGAAACCTCCCCCCAAAAACCCCAAGTTGCTACAGATTAGCTACTGCGCTACGTACCTTACTTTCACCTTAAGGTGTACCTTGCCGCGTATGGATTCTGGGCGACGGCGGCCTGGAATGGGCCCAAAGGCCACAGCTCACCACCAAGTGGGCGGTGGTGACTGGTGGAGGGATCGGCCGCCCTACAGAACGCCAGGCGAAAGCTTGGATCTGAACGGTGGCCCCCAAATGGGGCAGCAGTTCCCGCGTCGGGGTAAGGGCGATTCTGCCGCAACAGCGCATACCAATTACCTTAGCTGACAAGGTACTCTCTGTAGACTGAGGTGATTCCAGGAGCCAGGGCGGCGCTGCCTTTCTGTTGCTTGACATGGCATGACTAGGTACGAATAGGCGGATGTTGGCGACGAACGGCGCGGACTGAACTGTGCATTCTGCCGTTTACCATTTCCCAAACACCCCCCCCCCCCCCGAGGGCCCCAAGGACCCCAAGGTGCTTCTGCGCTGGCAGATCCTTCAACGAGAGAGGCGCCGAGCAAAGGATGAGCGCGAGGGGGAGGCGGCGAGAGAAACGGGATCTCTCTGCGCGTGCGTGCGTGCAGCCCTACGGGACGGACATAAGGTACGGAGTAAGGTGTTTATTGTCGCTCTGTATCCGTGTCCGTAGCACATACGGATGGGATAAAGCCTGTCTGCGCCAATATCCGTACGAACTCCCTGCCCTGTCCTTTCTTGTGTAACACCAGAAGTTGGCAGGGGATGCGATCCTTGGTACCAGTACAGGACTGTAGGTACGGGTGTACTCCGTACGTGAGTACGTTCTTCGTGGGTGGGGCGCTGTGAGTCCTCGATGGTAGGTTGGTTTCCTCAAGGGCTGGCTACCTAGAAATCTAGGACTATTGTCGAAGCATTGAAGCAGAGCAAGGCGTCCACGAGGTTATTCCTAACTTCCTGCATATGAGATATATCGAGAGCAACTTA